CTCTTATCTAACCCAGGCTATTGGGAGCCAGTAGCACTCGTATCCCTACCACTAGTGTCCTTGACCCTAGCACAGCACCATGAATCAGTCCCAGCATCACAAACTCTAGATCCAGCCACCTCTGAAAATTGGGGAACATCTAGACATAAGCTACACCAGCTGTTTTTCTTTGTTTTTAATGTGCTCAAATTTTGTTAAGATATTATACTTTACCACTGATCCCAAATTTGGCATAGATTTCTTTGTGTTTTCTGATTCAGAAGTTTGCTTCTTAAATCTGAATATGTATATCACTAGATTTGTAAAGTTTTCAACTATTATTTCCTTGAATAGTATTTTTGTTCCCCTTTTCTTCTCTTCTCTGGCTGGCACTCTGATAATAAAAATGTCATATCTTTTGCTCTGCTTATTTTAACAGTTTTTTTCTACTGCTCAGGTTGAGGGAATCCTACTCTTTCTTCATAGATAGTCTTTTGTCACCTCTGCCCTTCAATGAAGGCCAGCAAATGAACTTTTATTTCTGTCATGGTTTTCAGTAATTTGTTTTGTCCTTTAAAAAAAATACTTTTATTTCTTCACTGAGATTTTTTTTCATTTTTCCCCTATTTGTTTTGACAGAATTTATAATTGTCAAAGCACTTTCATGGCAGCTGCTTTAATGCTCTTATCAGTTAACTCCAACCTTAGAGTCATATTCATTTGCTTAGCTTTTTTCATTTGAATAGTGTTTTGCCTGTTTCTTGGTGTGGCCAGCGATTCTCCATTGTGTCCTGCATTTGTTGCCTATTTTGTTGGGCAGTTGTCTTCCACTGAAACCTCCTATTCAGCAAGACTGTTTGAGTGTACTTTCAGCACTTAGGGCCTGGCATACATTTGTGAGCTGTGGCTGTAGTGACTGTTGAGTTCCTCGAGCTTTCCTGGTAATACCAGTGAGTTTTTGAGAGCTGTGGCTTCTACCATGCTGCTGGACCATAGATTCACTTTTTCACACAGTGAACATGTGGGGGATGCAAGGATGTTTTCTATGTTCTGTGTGCTCAAGGTAACATGGAAGGAGACAGGCTAACAATCATGATATGTGATGTCAAGAAGTATGATAATGGTGGTCTGTGCAAAATACCACCAGATGTGAAATTTAGAGAGGAGAATGGTTATTACTTTGCTGGTGTGTGTGGAACAGGGACTTTCAGTGCAGATCTGGCTGCCCAGCCATGGGAGAGAAGCGGAGCTGGAGACAGAGAGGGGACAGGGCTAGGAGGATTGGGCAAGCACACTAGGGTGCTGAGTCTTGGCCAAGACACTACTGGGCCCTCTGAAGGATCACTGTTCCATTGTTCAGCCATTGTACAAGTCCCTCATAGTCAAACTCCAGCTTGTCTACTTTATATTTCCACCAGCTCCAGGTACCTCATACATGCTGGCCCTTATTCCCTCCAGAGCCTTCCTTGAGCTGTTCTTAGCCTGGGATCAAGGGTTGCTGAGCTCCAGTTTAAAAACAGCCTGCCCCATGAAACCTGTCTTAATTACCCCTGCCCATGAAACCTAATGGTTATGCACTCTCAGCCCTCTTGGGTGGAGTCACTGGGGCCATATGCCTTTTCACTTGGGATTTGTGGATGAAGGTCCAAGAGTGTGTCCGGTCTCACATACTGTCTCGATTAAATAGGGCTCCAGGACACAGAAAGGATTGGGAGGAACTGGAGCTCACTCTCAGGGCTCAGAATCTTGAGAAGATGCCATGTGGAAAGAGACCCTTGCATAGGCATTTTGATCTTCTAACTTTGCACACAGCAGTGCACGAAAGGAGCTGCTTCAGGTGAGTTTAACTTCCAAATTCATCATTAGCAAATCAGGAGGACAATGTAACGGCCAAGGGTCATTCTACAGGGATGAAGTCTAGACAGTGACCTCTTCCCAACAGCTCCTTGCTGCACAGGATGAAGGCTGAATATTTCAGACATTGCTGGATGTAACTTACAGTAAGAAATACAGTTTCTTCTCTTCCTGGTACACATATACCCACTGATATATAAGACAAGGTATTGCCTGGATCTCACTATGTAGCCCAGGGTGGCCTTAAACTACAGAAATTCTCTTGCCTTGGCCTCCTAAGTGCTGGCCAACACGCCACCATGTCCAGCTTGTTCTATTTCATTATAACTTTATTTTTTTAAATTGTTAGACTAGCAAATTTATCTCACTACTGTTTGTGGGTCAGGACCCATGGTCTGAAAATCATTTGGATAATCATGAAGATGTTAGAGTCAGAGGGGTCCAGGTTTGAATCCTGGTTCTGGCACCTAAAAACTGTGACTTTCTGCCATTCACTTTCCTTCTATAATAGATATCTTAGACTCTCCACAAGTAAAATGCAGACCATAGAACCTGCTTCATGGGTAACCAGGAGGATGAAGTGAGAGTGGTTGGGCACAGTTCCTAACACAGAAGAAAAGCCTGATAATTGGAAGCTTAATGCGCTTGTGAAGATTATGGCGGTTAGTTTCTGAGTACCCCTTGGCAGGACCACAGGAAGAATGGGACTCGTGCTTCCTGGGGGGTGGCAGCCAGGAAAGACTTTGTGGAGGAGGCGGCATTAAGGAGGTTGACAGGTACTGGCACCTGCTCATGTTCTTACAGTAATGGGAACCCTGTACAAATACCAACCCACAAACCCCCACATTTTTCAATCTACAGACAGACTTGTGCCCAAGGACTTTTTAGCTAGACATAGAGCTAAAAAATGTTAGACACCCTTGATTTTTGCATTTAGGTCTCTAATTCATCTGGGATTTGATTTTTGTGTCTGAAAATGTTAGACACCCTTTTAAAAAATTTTTTATTTAAAAGGAAAAAGAGAAAAACACAAAAATAAACAAAGCAGTGTAAGGGTACACGTAACACAGAACTACAAAAAAAAAAAAAGTAAAAAATCACCAGTTAATAGATTACATATTATCATCTTAGAAATAGTTGCTCAAATCACATTATCAAAGAATACAAAGTGGACATTCAAATAGTGAGACTGCAAACAATTGTGTTCAATGATCCAACCAAAAACATTAATATGGTCAGCTATTTAACACCCCTAAACACACTTGCTGTTGTATCCTTTAGAGCTCTTTTTTTCCCTCTCTTTTTTACAACAAAATTTACACATTTTGAGTTTTATTACTCCTTAGTTCTTATTACTTTTTTGGGGGGGGAGAGAGAATAAAGTCAAATATGGCAAAACAAAGCTGTCAGACAAAACCAAGGATAGACATAGCACATGATGTAAAAGAGAGTACAAGGTTATAAACAATGTCTCTTGTTTCCTTAAACAGAATTGTCTATCTCATTAGATATTATAAAGTTGAACAAAATAGTAGAGAACAAGACCAATAAAACTTAAACATTGTAAACATTACAGGACTTCCAAAGGAGACAATAGTAAAACCAGAATGGGCATCTTAGTGAATCTTATTGCCTTCAAAGTAGTTGCCTATACCCTCAAAATTGATACTATCATAGAGAATGGAACAGAGTCTAATCAGTCAAAACAAGATTGTGGGAGTATTATAGGACTTCAAAACAAGTTAATAGGAAATCAAAAAAAAGCTACTATTATATATCCTGCTAATTTTTTTTAAATTTTCCCCTTAATTAAAACAAACATAAGAAATAACTCAATAATTTTTTAAAGAATAAGGGAGAGGTTGAGATAAAAAAGGACATAACAATATAACAATACAGGTCAAAGCATGACTGTTTCAGCAACCTAGTGCTTCACCACCAAATAACCCGACTTACTAGTTGTTACCATAGTGTCTGTCTTTTTCCTTGAAATATTTCAATAAAACTTCATATACTATAGCTTCAAATATTTCCATATCAAGAAGCCCAGAATAAAGCCTTTCCAATTAATAAGTGAAAACTTTATAAGGCTTCAAGGCCACATAATGGGGAATCATGATTACCACATATTTTTATATATTTGAATCATTACTTACATTAGGGAAAATATTCGGTATTCACACATGCGAGATTGATTTATTTCACTTATGAGTATGGTCTCAAGCTGTGGCCGTTTATTGATAAATATCTCAATGTGATCCTTCTTTATAGCTGAATAATACTCCATTGTAGAGAAATACCACAACTTTTTTATCCATTCCTCAGTTGATGGACACTTGGGTTGTTTCCAAGATCTGGTGATTACACATTGTGCTGCTATAAACATAGGTGCACATATATCACTGTGGTATGATGCTTTCAGTTCTTCTGGGAATATGCCTAGAAGTGCAATAGTGGAATAAATGGGATTTCCAATCCCAAATTTTTGAGAAATCTCCAGACAGACCTCCACAAAGGCTGCACCAGTCTACACTCCCACCAACAGTGCAGGAGAGATCCTTTTTCCCCACAGCCTCTTCATCACTGGTTGTTGTTGGTTTTCTTGATCCTGGCCATTCTTTAAGGAGTGAGATGGTATCTCAGTGTGGTTTTAATTTGCATTTCTCTAATGACCAATGATGATGAACATTTTTTCATGTATTTACGTGCCACTTGCATTTCTTCATCTGAGAAGTGCATATTCTTCTCAGATGCCCATTTTTGGATTGGATCTTTTAATTTGGGGGGTCTGAGTTTTTTTAATTCTTCATATGTTTTAGACAAGAGTCCCTTGTCTGAGAGAGAGTTCACTAAAATCTTTTCCCTGTTTGTGGGTTTTTTTTCACTCTGCTGGAGATTTCTTTTGACATGCAGAAACTTTTTAATAAGAAGTGGTCCCAGTTATTGATTCTGGGAAGTATTTCCTGTGCGGTTTGAGTCCTGTTCATGAATTCTCTACCTACTCTATGTCTTCAAGGTTTCTACCCAATTTGTCTTCCAATAGATTTAGTGTTTCTGTTTTAATATTCAGATCTTTGACCCATTTAGATTTTAATTTAGTACATGGTGATAGATATGGGTCTAGCTTTAGTTTTCGGCAAATGGAGAGCCAGTTTTTCCATCACCATTTATTAAGAGACTGTAGTTCTTCCAGTGAAACTGCTTGGCTCCTTTATCAAAGATAAGGTGGTTGAGTGTGTTTGTACTTGTGGTTGTATCTTCTAATCTATTCCACTGATCTTCAGCTCTGTTTTGATTCCAATACCATGTTGATTTAACTACTGTTGCTTTGTAGTATAACCTCAAGTCAGGTATTGTGATGCCTCCTGCTTTGTCTTTGCTGCTTAGAATTGCCTTTGCTATTCTAGGTCTCTTCTGGTTCAAGATGAAATTTAGGAGTGATTTCTCTAGATCTAAAAGGTATGTTGACAGTATTTCTATTGGGATTGCATTGAATCTGTACAACAGTTTTGGGAGAATGGCCGTCTTCACAATGTTTGTTCTTCCTATCCATGAGCAACGGATATCTTTCCATTTTCTGAGATCATCCTCAATTTCCTTTTACAGTGTATTATAATTTTCACTGTATAATTCTTTCACTTCTTTCATAAGAGTAATTCCTAAATATTTCATTTTTTTGCTTGCTAATGTGAAGAGTGCACTTTCTCTTATTTCCCTCTCTGTGATTTTGTTGTTCATGTATAGGAATGCTATTGATTTCTGAGTATTGATTTTGTATCCAGCCACATTACTGAATTTATTTATTGTATCTAAGAGTCTTTCAATGGAGTTTAGGGGGTCTTCTATGTAGAGTATCATGTCATCTGCAAACAATGATAATTTAACTTCTTCTTTTCCTATCTTTACCCCTTTTATCTCTCTTTCTTGCCTAATTCCTCTGGCTAGTACTTCCAGTACTATGTTAAATAGGAGTGGTGATAAAGGACATCCTTGTCCTGTGCCTGATTTTAAAGTAAAGGCTTTCAATTTTTGGCCATTTTTTATGATGCTGGCTGTTGGTTTGTCATAATGGCCTATATTATATTGAGTTAAAGACCATCTATTACAGTTTTCTGTAAAGTTCTTATCATGAATAAATGTTGGAGCTTATCGAAGGCTTTTTCTGCATCTATAGAAATGATCATGTGATCATTTCTTGCATTCCTGGGATGAATCCCACTTGGTCATGGTGTATAACCTTCTTGATGATTTGCTGGATCCTATTTGCCAATATTTTATTGAGGATTTTTGCATCTGTGTTCATTAGGGAGATCAGGCTATAGTTCTCCTTTTTAGTTGGGTCTTTCTCAGGTTTTGGTACTAGAGTAATATTTGCTTCCAGGAATGACTTAGGAAGGATTGCTTCCCTTTCAATTTCATTGAAATTTTGAGGAGTGTCGGCATTAGGTCTTCTTTGTATTTCTTGTAGAATTCTGCAGTGAATCCATCTGGGCCTGGGCTCTTCTTGGTGGGTAAGGACTTAATTACATTTTCAATTTCATTAACAGAGATTGGGTTATTCAACAGTTTTACATCCTCTTGATCTAGCTTTGGTACTTCATATGCTTCTAAGAATCTGTCTATTTCTTCTGTGTTATCAAACTTTTGAGAATAGAGCTTTTCGAAATAGGTGTTGATGATCTTCTGTTTTTCTGTTGGGTCTGTAGTGATTTCACCTTTTTCATTTCTTATTGCATGAATTTGAGCTTTTTCTTCCCTTTTTTTAATAAGGTTGCCTAGGGGCTTATCGATTTTATTTATTCTGTCAAAGAACCAACTCTTTGATTTGTTGATTCTTTGGATTGTTTTCGTAGTCTCTATTGCATTGATTTCTGCTCTGATTTTTATAATTTCCTCTCTTCTTTTGGCTTTGGGCTTGACTTGCTGTTCTTTTTCTAGCTATTTGAGGTGTAGCATCAAGTTATTTATTTGTATTCGTTCTGTTTTCCTGATGTGGGAACTCAGTGCAATAAATTTTCCTCTCAGGACGGCTTTCATTGCATCCCACAGATTCCGGTAAGTTGTATTAGCATTTTCATTTTTCTTTTAGGTATTGTTTAATTTCTTCTTTAATTTATCTGTGACCCAGTGATTACTCAAGAGTGTGTTATTCAGTTTCCATGTGTTTGTAGGATTTTTGCAGTATCTTTTATCATTAATTTCTAATTTCAGAGCGCTATGATCCGATAACATGCAAGGGATGATTTCAACTCTTTTGCATTTGTTTAAATATGTTCTGTGAGCTAATACATGGTCTATTTTAGAGAATGATCCATGTACTGCTGAGAAGAATGTGTATTCTGATGTTGTTGGGTGGAACATTCTGTATATGTCTATCAAACCCATTTGTTCACAGGTGTGATTCAGTTCTGTTATTTCTTTGCTCATTTTCTGTCTGGTTGATCTGTCCCTTGGTGTCAATGGCGTATTACGATCTCCTGTTACAATTGTGTTACTGATAATTTGAGTTTTCATTTCTGTTAATAATTGTTTTATATAACTGGGTGCTCTGGAGTTTGGTGCTATATATTTAAGATAGTTATCTCTTCCTCTTGGAGTTTTCCCCTTACGAGTATGTAGTGACCTTCTTTGTCCTTTATGGTCATTGTTGGTTTAAAGTTCACGTTGTCTGCAAACAGAATGACTACTCCTGCCTTTTTTTGGATTCCTGCTGCATGAAGTATTCTTTTCCATCCTTTGACTTTCAGTCTGTGAGTATCCTTCTGGGTTAGATGGGTTTCCTGTAAACAGCATATGGTTGGATTTTGTTTCTTGATCCATTCTGCTAGTCTGTTTCTTTTGATTTGTGCATTGAGACCATTTACATTAATGGTTATTATTGTTAAATGCTGGTTTATTGTTGGAATGTTATCTCTCTGCTGTTGCATCTTTATCTTTCTGTTCTGTTTAATTATTTACTTTGCTTAGTGGTTTTTTCCTTTGTGTATCTAAACTTTCAATATTTTTTGCAGGGTTGGTTTGGTGTTCATGAAGTTCTTCAGCTCTTCTTTGTCATGGAAGTATCATATTTCACCATCTATTTTGAATGATAGTTTTGCAGGATATATCAGTCTAGGTTGGAAATCATTTTGCTTTAGGATCTGGAATACTTCACTCCATGCTCTTCTTGACTTTATGGTTTGTGCTGAGAAGTCTGCTGTGATTCTGATAGGTTTTCCTTTATAAGTGATCTGTCTTTTCTCTCTGACAGCTTTTAATAATCTATTCTTGTGTTGGATTTCTGGGATGGTGATTATTATATGTCTGGGTGTATTTTATTTTGGTTATGACTATTTGGAGTTCTATATGCTTCATTGATCCTGATGTCGGTTTCTGATTTTATGCTTGGGAAATTTTCAGCTATTACTTCTCTAAATATCCTCTTGACATCCTTTATGTTGTCTCCTTCTTTTTCATTAATCCCTATCATTCTTATGTTATTCTTCTTTGCATTGTCTTGCAGTTGTTGAATTGTTGTTTCCTGATTCCTTGTTATTTTTAAAAGATCTTTCCTTTCCTGTTCACTAGCTGCAATCCTGTCTTCAAGGTCTGAAATTCTATCTTCACTTTCATTAAGGCGGTTTTTAGAACTTTCAGTGTAGTTTTTTATTTCCTGTATATCTCTGTGCATCTGCTTTATGTATTCTTCTTTTTGTTTCTTATATTGCTCATCTAGGGATTCTATCTTTTTGTTTAGTTCCTCCAATTTTTTAACTGTGTTTTCTTTAGATATATTCAGAATCTCTTTCATTTCTTTTATCATTTCTTCTTTTAGCTGGGAGATTATTTTGATTTCAAACTCCTTTAAAGCTTCCTGGATCTGCTTTTTTATTTCAGTAGATATTATGTCCAATGTTTGAGGTGTATGGCATATATTTTCTTCTCTATATGTTGCTCTTAGGGTTTCTTGAGATGGGCTGGAGGTTTGAGGTTGTAATTTGGTCTTTTGTTTTGTCATTTTCCTATATTTCTGTGTTTCAAGTGTTATTTGAAAGCTTCCTCAGGATCTGTTGAAAATCCCCTTCTATGTTTGCAGCTACTGAGACTCTGGCACCACGCTACCCCAAGCCACTGGGCCTGCAGAACCAATGGCTCTCCTCTGCCTCCTCAGAACTCTGCAGTTCCAGACAAGCTGGGCCTCAGGGACACTGTGCGCCCACCTGCCCCTTGGAAGCACCACAGCTCTCCAATCGCAGCCTATGTGGATGCGGATGTAGACGCCTCAAACCCACCTCTCCACTTCACTGCATCTGGAAGCCTGGAGGGACCCAAACAGTCTGGGCTCTGGGCAGAGTGTGCTGAGCACTCACCACAGGCTGCAGGGCCTCCAGAACCTGTGATGCTCCACCGCTCGCAGAGACATCCACAGTCCCCCAGACACACAGGGAGGCCGATGCAGGCGCCCCAGATCCACCCAACCCCTCCCAACAGGCACACCGATGGCTAGGTGCAGCAGTCCGAAACAGTCTCACACCCTTGATTTTTGCATTTAGGTCTCCAATCCCTCAGGGATTGGATTTTTGTGTCTGGTGTAAAGATCCAATTTCTTTTTTCCCTCTGTTTCTGAATGGATATCAGTTACCACCACACTGTTTATTAAAGAGTCCATCTTTTCCTGCTGATTTATACATCACATCTCTCATATATCAAGGTTTCATATGTGCACAGATCAGTTTTTGGCCTGAATTCCATTTCAGCAGTCTATTTTTCTTTCTCTGTGTCAGTATCACACTGTGTTAATTACTGTGGCTGTATACTGACTGCTGGAGGTAGGCTGATCTCACTAGGCTTGTTCTGCTCCCTTAGAAGTCTCTGGCATGCTATGGGCCTGGCTCTTCTCCACTTGTTTCAGAATCGTCTTCTGCTGGAAAATGGGTGATGAGCCTGTGTCCCTGGATGAGTTGTCCTCCATGAGCAGCATTTCAGGCACCTGGGCCTTCAGCCACGCCTGTGCTAACTGCTGCCACCAACGCCAGTTGGTGCTGAAGCTGCTCAGGGAGAACTTTCTAACTGATTTGCAGAGCAAAGTCCTGAGAATGTGTCTGGGACCGAATTCCAACTTCCCCTTGAACAGGGGCTCCTTTGGTTTCCTCCAGTGGCTCGATTACCCTCATTTTACACAGGATGCCTGCAGTCCCTTCCAGAAAACCGCTTGTTCTCCTTTCCCTGCCTGGAAGGCCATAACACTGGGCAGATAGGGACGTCCCTCTACTGACAATGCCAAGGTCTCAAAACACTGCCCACTCCAGAGGTTGGGAAGCACAACCAGACTCTTTGGCTTAAGTGTCTGCAAGAGTATTCTTAATGGAAAATAGGCTTGGGAGGAAGAGACGTGCACTCATGCTTATGGTTCAGTCTTTGGACTTTGGCTTGCCCACCTGTGACATGGGAATTTGAACTGGGTGATCTCCCAGATTTCCATTGACACTTGTTCCTGTGATTCCATCCTGTGGCATGAGAGCATAGAAACTGGGAAGTGTTCTGTCCATCTTGCTGCCAAGAAGATTCTTACTTCTGCCTTGCTTTGGTTACTGAAGTTTCCCTCCCTGCCTGGAGGAAGATGGTGGCTCTGGCTGACTAGGACTGGACCAGGTGCTCTGCAGACCAAAAGCAAGGCAAGTTGGACTTCCTGTGAAGCTGATGTAGACTTCTGCCTCTCTTTACCTGGGGAGCATTGTCAATTTTAGAAATCGTCTATGTCTGAATCTGTACTTCCAACAGGGATTCATGACCCACTGTGGGCTTCAACACAGGCTTGGATTAGACCAGTACACGGTGCTGCTTTTGATTGTGGTGTTTCAGACTATTGGTCTGAGATGTTTCTGTCTCCTCTTTCAGACCACTGAATGCTCAGCCACAGCTTCATTGGCTGGAGGGCTAGATAACATGAAGGCCAACCTGACCAGCCCCACACCTGCTGACATTGGGAGCAGTGTACCAGGCCCACAGTCCTACCCCATTTTGACAAGTGAGGGGACCTGGATTATAAGGGATTGAGTGGAAGAGGGAGAGGGAGAATGAATACATGGTGGGAGGAAGGCTTTTTGGTATTTTTGGATGAGATTGGCCATTTTTACTTTAACGGGGTGATGAGGTCTTGGAACAGACCAGGCAGGAAACTGCTTGGGTCACAGTTTTAGCTGTGCTTAAGACATGGCTGTACATGATTCCAAGAAAGCCAGAGGAAAACAAATGCCAAAGGAACTGTGGCTGAGAGAAGTGACAGGGAAACCTCTGAAGAGATGGCTCCTGTAGATGAGGATTTATTCATTTCATGAGCAAAGCAGCCCTGGTTGGCAACAGCTTCAAGGAGTGGGATTCTTTGCAGCTTGTGATTGGCATTTCAAAATTTCAGCAGAGGCTAGGTCCTGACCTAGGAGGCTCAGGCTGGGTATGTACCAAACAGCTGCCTTCCTGGAGGCCAGGGCCAGCGTCCATTTCACTGTGAGGGTAAAGCCCTGGCTCTCAGCAGTAGAGCACTTGGTCAGTGTACACCAAGTCCTGGCTTTCACCCCTAGCACTGTGCCAGGTAATACAACAGCGACAAACAGCATGGGCTCCCCACTCACAGTTAGGGTTGGACCTGTCATTTGCTAGCTGTGCAGCTATCTTGGAGGAGCCACCCAACCTCACACAAATGCCTGCTGTTGTTTTCTGAGCTGTATAATGGTAGTACCTACCGCACAAGGTAGTTACGAGGATGAACGGGCTCACTCTAAAGTACTTAGATGCTTGCATAGCACACAGTTAGCACCCAATGTGTGTGGCTGTTGTCACTCCTCTGAAGAGACCTGTCACATGGATTGTCAAAGTTGTGCATGTTGCTACAGCTGCTTTCCACCCACCATACTCCCTCTTCCAGCAGCACTGGTTACTGGGGAGCACCAGAAACTGTCTGAACTGCCAGCCCCTGGAGAAGGCCACCATGACAGACAGGGGGCCCTTAGACAGTGGGGTACTGAGGCCCACACTTGGGCCAGAGCCTGTGGGTACAGCCTAAGCTGGAAGGGTGCCTTGAGGGCAGAACACAGTACACAGTGGCAGAGACAAGGTTTCTTAGACACACAGTTAGGTTGCTGGTACATCAGGGAGGCTGACGATTGTCCTTGGCTTAGAAAACCATAGGGGAAGAAACAGAGGAAACAGGATCTCAGTTCCAAAGCCCTTTAAATTGGAACAGCAAGGCAGTGAGGCCAACTCTGCGACCTGAGCTGACAGGTCAGCACCAAGGCTCAGACTGAAGCAGCTGGGCCCCACTTGCAGGTCTGGGAGCCCCATGAGAGTAAGAAGGCCACAGTGACCTGATCTGCATGCACATGTAATGAGGAGGAGCCTGCAAGCTAGGAGAATGAAGGGAGGCTGGAGCCAGAGAGCTTCACTTAGTTCTCCCGAAATTTTACTGCCATCACGGATGTTCTGTGATGTCTTCTCCTCTGATGTCACCTGCAACCATGACAGTACTTTTGATGATATGTCATTGTGCAGGTACAGAAGCTAGGCTCAGTGAGGCAGTGCCTTCCCCAATGTAAGGAGAACCATGAAGAGTCTTCTAGATCCCCAGACATTACAGTTTTCAAAGTACTACAAGCAATTGCAAAGGGTAGAGCAGAAAGAAGTGTGGACCAGGTCATAATAATAGTCATTGTCATTTCATGGAGTGCTTAGGCACCAAGCACTTCCTTTTATTTTTTATTTTTATTTTTATAGGTACCAGGGATCAAACTCACAACTCTGCATTTGAAAGGCACTTATGCCACTGAGGTAAATCCACGGCCCAAGCACCCTTTTGGAGTGAGCCCGTTTTTTACCCTCAGAAGAACACTGGAAGGTGATGCAATGAATATCATATGTAAAGAAACTGGGACCTAGGGCAGGCAGGTATTTTTCCTGACATCACAGCCAGTGTTCAAGGGTGCTGTGGTTGAACACGGCGGTGGGGGGGGGGCTGTGCTGCTGGCCATTCTGCTGCATGGATAAGCTGGGGGCCACCCCCAGTGCTGTCACTTCATTCTGTCTGACTTTGGACACAGCTATGAGTCTCACTTTTTTCATCTATGCAATGATCCTGGTCTCTCAGCACCCGTATGTTGATCTAATAAAATCCCTGAGGAGAGTGTATGACACAGAGGGCAGTTTGTGATTGGAGGTAGAGCATGGAAACTCAAGTTGAGGCAGCTCACAAGGAGACTATATTCCTTCATGTGTATGCGTATTTATGTGGATAGTGACTCTGGGAGTGTGGAGACGGAAGTCAACTTCCTGAGGTTCCACTCAACAGGAGTGGAATGCAGGTTGCCAGCTATCAGGGCTCACCTAGGCCACAGATAAGTGTAGTTTGGCCCATACAGGATATTTAGACATTTTAATTCAACACGTTAAAGGTAAAAGGCTGAATTACTGACTCCCCTTGAAAAATCATAACAGTCAGCCTCTGTGGGGCTTATTCGCACATGGCCATGCTAGGTTGGGGCTCAGTAGCAGCAGCCCCTCAAGATAGATCCCCGTACTTCCCAGCCAGTGGCTCTGTCATATATCTTGAAAGTCTAGCCTGAGAAGTACTGTGCGTTAACATCCTTGGAGCAGGAGCTTGGGCTAAGGGCCAGGGAGGTGGGCTCACTCTCCTGCAGTCTACAGAGGGTTTCAGCAGGCCTGGGTACCAAATCTAGTAGTGAACTGGGGTTCAGTTAAACCTTCAACCAAAAATCTGTTTGTGTTTTAATTCCCCCTCTTTAAATCACATGGATCCAGAAGAGATTCAAAGACTAAAGCAGAATTATGCTTAATTTTGAAATATTAGAGATACTATAATTATCAATATATTTATTAGCTTTCTTATAAGTAAACAATAGCACAATGGAAGGAAGGAGCCCATGAACAACAAAAATATTTTAACTACCTAGGAATAAACTTAACTTTAAAAAGTAAAAGAATAAATGTAGAAATGTTGTTTATTCTTAGGCTGCACATCATAAAAATGCCAGTTCTCCCTAAGAAATCTATTAATTCAAAGCAATTCCAAGCCAACTGCCAAGGAATTTTAAAAGTATGTCAAAATGATACAAATACTAGGTAAATAAACATTCTAGGACAGCTAGGAAAATTCTGAATTAAATGAGATGCTAGAGCACATTTAAAAATGTACTGTGAAACTACATAACTAAAACTGTTATTGAAACTGAAATTTCAGCATAGAATACAGAAACAAACCTAAACACTGTATGTGTGAGTGTTTATGAATGCAGACTGTTGGATCCTTACCTGTCTCTTTATATTAAAATACACTTTTTGAGGCTGCTAATATAATAATTGTCCTGATTTAATAATTGTACATTATATACATGTATCAAAATATTCCAACATATCCGAAACATGTATAATTATGTGTCATTTAAAAATAAATGCCATGTAGGTGGGCATGGTGGAATACTTGGGAGGCTGATGCAAGAGGGTCACTGAATTCAAGGCCAGCCTGGGCTACACAGTGAGACCCTGTCTCAAAAACCAAGGATAAAAAATAAATAAATTCCAGGTTGATTGAAACTTTGAATGAAAACTAAAGCCTAGGGGGAAATCTTTTATAGAGGAGGCCTTTTAAAAATATGTCTTGAGAGCAGTGTGTGTGTGCATGCATGAGTTAGTCTCTTGTACGTGTGTAAAAATACCCAAAAGACAAAATATGTAAAAGAAATAAAAATTAAAAATGTGAAAGGAAGAAAAAAAAGCATGACACAGATAACAAAATTTAGTTATTAAAAATTTATTTAGTGTATGAAGAGCTTTTAAAATTTGTCTGTATGTGTGTATGTGTGTATGTGAGACAGGGTCTTGCCATGCAGCTTAGGCTGGCCTTGAACTCATTACATAGTCCAGACCAACCTCAACTTACAGCAATCTGCTTGCCTCAGTCTCCCAAGTGCTGAGATTGCAGGTGTGCACTACAACACCTGGCCAGAAAGCTTTTAAAATAAATAAGAAATAAAGCAGTAGACAAACTCAGCAAAGAATATGAATAGGTATTTCACTGGGAAATATATCAGCACCCCAAAATATTTGATGAATCAACAAGTTAAAATAATCAAGTGATACTTAAGATATGATACCATTAATTTATCAAATATTAAGTTTCAGAGTTGGGAAGGGCGTGAGAAGTAGACATCTTTCATATACAGTTAAGGAAGTATAAATTGGTGTAATTTCTTTTTGAAGGAAACTTGGCAATATTTATCAGATATTTAAATATTCATGCCAACACTGTGACTCAAAGCTTTTATGTATGTTTTAAGGAAATTATCTCACAAATATATTCATGCAGTACAATATAATGGTAAACAAATAGAACAGTGTGGCCTCAACAAGTAAGAGGTGAAATATATTATGACTCTTTCTTACAATAAGTAGTACTGATATAAAACTCACAAAGGAGTAAACCTTATCTTTATTGACATGAATACATGTCTAAGTTATAAATCTGAGTAAAAAGAAACAAGCTGTATAGTAATTTAAGTATGATCACATTTGTACAAAAATATAATACAAAACAGTGGAATTCTACAAGAAATACAAAGAAGACAATGATCACACTCCTCAAATTCTTCAATGAAATCAAAAGGGAATCAATCCTTCCTAAGTCATTCCTGGAAGCAAATATTACTCTAGTACCAAAACCTGAGAAATACCTAACTAAAAAAAACCAAAATTACAAGCCAATCTCCCTAAAGAACACAGATGCAAAAATCTTCAATAAAATATTGGCAAACAGGATAAAGCAAATCATCAAGAAGATTATATACCACAACCAAATGGGATTCATCCCAGGCATGCTGGGATGGTTCAGCATATGCAAATCAATAAATGTAATCCACCATTTAAATAAAGCCAAAAGTAAGAATCACATGATCATTTCTATACATGCAGAAAAAGCTTTTGATAAGGTCCAGCATTCATTGATGATAAGAACCTTACAGAAAAGTGTAATAGATGGTCTTTACCTCAATATGACAAAGGCATTCTATCACAAACCAACAGCCAGCATCATATTAAATGGCCAAAAACTGAGGCCTTTACCTTAAAATCAGGCACAAGACAAGGATGTCCCTTATCACTGTGCCTATTCAACATAGTACTGGAAATACTAGCCACAGCAACTAGACAAGAGAGAGAAATTAAAGGGGGAAAAGAAGAAGATAGGAAAAGAAGAACTTAAATTATCATTATTTGCAGATGGCCTGGTACTCTACAGAGAAGACCCACAAAACTCCATTGAAAGACTCTTAGATATAATAAATAAATTCAGCAATGTAGCTGGATACAAAAACAACACTCAAAAATCAATAGCATTTGTAAACACTAACAAAAAAATCACTAAGAGAGAAATAAGAGAAGCTACACCCTTCACACTAGCATCCCCAAAAATGAAATAATTAGGAATTAAGCTTATGAGAGAAGTAAAAGATCTGTGCAGGGAAAATTATAATACCTTGAAAAATAAATTGAAAAGGATCTCAGAAAATGGAAAGACATCCCTTGTTCATGTATAGGAAGAATAAATATTGTGAAAATGGCCATTCTCCCAAAACTGTTATACAGATTCAATACAATCACAATAAAAATACCATCAACATACTTCATAGATCTAGGTAAATCACTCCTAAAATTTATCTGGAATCAGAAGAGACCTAGAATAGCAAAGACAATTCTAGCAGCAAAGGCAATGCAGGAGTCATCACAATCCATGACTTGAAGTTATACTACAAAGCAACAGTAGTAAAATCAACATGGTACTGGAATAAAAACAGATCTGAGTATCAATGGAATAGATTAGAAGATACAACCACAACTGCAAACACACTCAACCACCTTATCTTTGGTAACGGGGCCAAAAGTGTTCACTGGAAGAATGACACTCTCTTTAATAAATGGTATTGGTAAAACTGTCTCTCTATATGCTGAAAACTAAAACTAGGTCCATGCCTATCACCATGTACTAAAATAAAATCTAAATGGATCAAAGATTTGAATGTTAAAACAGAAACACTAATTCTGTTGGAAGACAGAGAAGGTAAAAATCTTGAAGACATAGGGGTAGGTAGAGAATTCATGAACAGGACTCAAACCACACAGGAAGTACTTCCCAGCATCAATAACTAGGATCACCTCTTATTTAAAAGTTTCTGCATGTCAAAAAAATATCCAGCATAGTGAAAAGAAAACCCACAAACTGGGAAAGAATCTTAGGGAACTCTCCCTCAAACAAACTTCTATCTAAAACATGTAAAGGATTCTTTTTAAAAATCAGACCCCGGAATTCAAAGACCCAATCCAAAAGTCGGCGTCAGATATGAACACACAATTCTCAGATGAAACAATACAAATGGCAAATAAATACATGAAAAAATTCTCATCATCATTAGTCATTAGAAAAATGCAAATTAAAATCACACTGAGATTCCATCTCACTCCAGAAACAATGGCCACGATCAAGAAAACTACCAACAACAAATGTTGTTGGGGATACAGGAACTCTTCAGCGCTGCACAGTGTAAACTGGTGCAATCATTGTGGGGGTCAGTCTGGAGTCTCTCAAAAAGCTGGGATTGTTTGTTACAGCTATTCCACTTCTAGGCATATTCCCAGAAGAACTGAGAGCATCCTACCATAGTGATATATGTGCACCCATGGTTATAGCAGCACAATTTATAATGGCCAGATCTTGTGTCCAGCAACCTAAGTGTCCATCTACTGAGGAATGGAAAAAAAAAAAAAGATGTGGTATTTTTAATACAATGGAGTACTCCTTAGCTATAAAGAATGATCACATTGAGATATTAATAAATAAATGGATGCAACTTGAGGCCATACTCATAAATGAAATAAATGAAACTCACATGTATAAGTACCATATAGTCTCCCTAGTATAAGAAATGGTGATAGTACATAAGAGTTTATGGTAATCATGATTCCCCATTAAATTGCTTTGAAACCTTCAGTAGTTGGAATGATTTTGCCCTGATTTGTTTGATTTTATTATGTGTGATGGTATGAACAGCTATTTTGAACAAAACATTATAATAGCCCGTGCTGATTTAATATCATCTTGCTTTGAAATCCTACCATCCTTTTGCTCTTCTGTTTCCATTGATTCTATCATGTTGTATCTTCTTGGATATTATTATGTGTGATAATATAAACAAACATTTTATGGACAGTGAGATAATATAGTAATCATCATTCATTTTCTGTTATTTGGTTCTGAATGCCCTGTAATGTTTCATTGTCTTGAATGGTTTTATACTATTTTGTTATGTTTGATACTATTGTATACGAAGGTATGCTCAACTATTTCAAAGAAAGAGATATTATGTTAGCTACTGTTAATAATTGGGTTGTCTTATGGTGAAATACAGTGTTGCTTACATTCTTCTGTTCTGAACTGCTCTGTTATGTCCTCTTTTGTCTTAATCTCTTTAAAATAAAAAAATTAAAAGTAATAAGAATTGTGGGAGTAATAAAACCCAAAATATGTAATTGTCATTGTAAAAAAGAGAGGAAAAGAAAGTGCGCTAAAGGATATAACTCCATGTATATTTAAGTGTGTAAGATAGATAACCATATTACTAAGTTTTTGTTGGATCACTGAACAGAACTGTTTTCAGTTTCACTGTTTGAATGTCCACTTTGTATGCTTTAATTTTGTAACATGAACAAATATTTCTAAGATGACAATATGTAATCTATTAACTAGTGATTTCCTACTGTTTATCTTTTTGAAATTCTGTATTACTTGTACCTTTTTTCTGTTTTTTTTCTCAAATAAAATTTTGAAAAAAGAAAAAATAGTAATACAACACAAAATTTACATCGGGATTAATGGAGCCTTTGAATTAACACTCACCATCACATGTACTGTATCTCAGAATGTACTGTGTGAAGATTTAGCAGACCTTTCCTCTGTTCCTTCCTCTCCACTGGCTGGAGGACCTGACCTCATTGGGATCCTGCTTGTGAGTACATCAAAGTGGAGCTCTTACCCAGCCCCACCCAGTATCACTTTGGGCTAGCACATATTTACAGTGTCCCTTCACTATCCTGAAATTAAGGTTAGAAAGCATGTAGGCTATCTTCACATCTAATTTCAAATAAAATCAAATCTGTGCCTCATGAGGTAAAGGAGAAGTGAAAACAGAATTGTTGGTAATTAAATAACTATTTGATATATTCATGTTCTGAATATCTAAACTGAAATGTAGCACACTGGCCCAGGACTTGCCCAGTACACCAAAGCCCCATGGCTGCAGGAGCCCTGAATGCAGACTTCTGCAGGGTTACAGACCAGGGACTCCACTGGCTCAGATCACCAATGTGACTTTCCAAACAGGAAAGCCACTCTTGGCAAGTTCCAAGTAAAACAAAGTATGAGCTTTGCTAGCTTTACACAGTAGCTGCATTCATAGAAAATTTGGAATGTGTGAAGACCATGGAAATGAAAAGTTCACATTTATATGTAAATGAAGCTCAATTCTAGATACAAGTAATTGTAAACAGGTTTTTCAGCTACCTGAATGTTTGGCAGGACATGAGAACAGTGTGAGATGAAAGAATTCTTCATTGTGTGGGAGCCATAAAGCCCCTCCAACATGGAAGAGCCCCCCCCCCAACCCCCAGAATTTCAGAGCACTCTATGAAGTAGTCACTGGCTCCACTGAGAACTGGGAGAATGCTTTAAAGAAATCCCCAAGAGCTTTTGGGGGCTCCATGTGACTGTGAGACATTCATTTAAGTGCCCTCATGATAGTGGCTGTGCTGTCACAGTCCTAAACTCCTCCAGGGGTGTCAGAGTCTCCCAGTCCACTCTGCATTTCACTTCTCCTCACAAAACCTAGAGCATACAGTCTAGGGGACCCTGGGGGACAGGTGGTTGCTAAGCTGCTTCATGTCAGCCCTCTCCAGGCTGCTCAAAGATTTCATTAGAAAATGAGCTGATTTCTCTCCATCATTTATATGCCACATTAAACATGAAGCTAAACCCCTGCTCTGCCAGCCAGGGCCACAGTTTAGAAGCTGCTCACCATTTGCAAACCGATAACATGGCCAATCAGGTCCTGCACTGTCAGCAGTTTGGCTGTGTCTTGATTGAAACTAATGATCTGTGTCCTTGGCCATCGGCCTGCTGATGGGGCAGCATTGTGCCTACCTGGCAGAGAGGACAGCGGCTTTTTCTTATGGAAAAGAATCTTAGGAACACAAGAAATACAATACCTTGTTCATAAAAACAAGGTAAAGATTAGTGTACAGTGGACGACATTTTGTGTAAAACATGGATTCAAACAAGTGACTGTGTATTTATATTGGTGCAAGTCAGAGAAACTCTTAAGATTCTGAGGAATTTCATCACCTTGTTTAGGCAGAGAGTGTGGGAAGAGTTATTTTTATTGAAATTTATTTACACTTTTGAAACCATGTCAATATATAAACCACTGAGAAGCAAAACGTTCCTTTCCTTAAAAATGAGAAGACTTCATATAGAGATTTAGATGTCTAGCCTCTCTTCAAAACTTGTCCAGCACTCAGGAGGCTGAGAAAAGAGGATTGCTGTGAGTTTGAACCCAGTCTGGGCTACAAAGTGAGTTCAAAGCCAGCCTGAACTGTATAGTGAGACCCTGTCTCACTAAGACAATCAATCAATCAATCAATAAACAAAAGAAAAGAAAAACTTGAAGGATGTGTCCACGTTGGGTCTCCATGTCTATGTGGACACTCAATGAGTGTGAGAAGTGGATGCCCCATTCACATACCCCAGAAATACCTGGCCAGCCTCTCTTACCTCACTTGCTGGCACCTATCCGTATGTGACTTGTGACCTGACCCTGAACCATCCTCTATCC